AAAAGGGCGAGAGGGGGTTTTTTTTTTTTTTTTTTTTTTTTTTTTTGAGGCAGGGTCTCACTATGTAGTTGAGACTGACCTAGAACTCACTATGTAGCCCATGCTGGTCTCGAACTCATAGTGATCCTCAGCCTCCCAAGTGCTGGGATTACAGGTGTGCACCAGCACACCTGGCTAAGGCTTTTGTTCTTAAAGTACTGCATCTAAAACATCCTTAAGTATGTTAAAGAAGAAATCCAGGCCAGGTGTGAGCCCAGACCAAGCATTTTAGCAACCCAGTGAGACCTTGTCTCAAAATAAAAATAAAAAAGGGCTGGGGATGTAGCTCAATGCAAAGGCTCTGGGTTCAATCCCCAGCACTGCACCACCCCTGAAAAGGAGTTAAATAATCCTATTTTTTTAATCAATAAAATGAAATCTAGCAAGAATTTTTTTTCTCACATGTATGCTGGGCAAGGAGATGTAGTTAAGTGGTAGAATGCCTACTTAGCATACACGAAGCCCTGCCAAAACCAAACCAAACAAACCAAACAAAAGTGCAGGCCCTTTCTCCATCAACATAGGCCAGGGCTTCTTTACATAGAGATTGGACCTTGAAAACAAAAGCAGAAGCTGCTATGTCCCTTGAGTTTTAGGGTGGGCAGTTGGAGAATGACATATTCACAGTATGCTTCTGGTCAAAGCCAGTGCCACGGCCAACTGCGTTCCAGGGTTGGGAAGACAGATGCCACCTCTGATAGAGGAACCACAGAATCCCTTAGCAACAGGGAGGCACGGCACACTGCATGGCATGGGTGTGCCAGGTGTCTGTGCACCAGTTCCGAGCCCAAAGGCAAAACATACAGTGTGTCAGACAATGGATTTGCGAGGGCTCTGGACCAGGCGAGTGAAAATTGGAGCCTGCTTTGCCGAGAGCCTGTTTGCCTGAAGTTTTTTCTTCTTTCCAAACTCTTAAGCACGGGAAGGAAAACAGCTCCCAAACCCTGACCTCAGCGATTTCCCCTCTAAACCTCCATGATGTCCTCCTCTTCTGGAACAGCGTCTGCTTTTCGTGGCTGAGCAAGTTCCCCTGGGATGGGCGGTCTGGGGAGACCAGTAATTCAGTGCCACACTGCCCTTTCAGTTCATGTTCTGTCTTACAAGCGTGAAGTACAAGTGTTTCCTTTTTCACAGACACAGCACAGCACTATGCATATCTGTTGGCTGGTATTACTTTTCCTTTGGACAGGAAGCAGTAAAATCCGACTTTGCTCTCTAGCACAGCTTCCCTGGTGATCTCATATACTGATAGTTCCTCCAGTGGATCCAGACGCGTGGAGCCTTCATCTTTCTTCAGCTCCCACCGCTCTCCCTGGTTTCGGATCCTACGCTGTGTGGGTCGTGGCAACTTTATAAAGAAATGCGGTCTCTTTTGCCATGGCGTTGGAACTCAAGACTGGGTGGCCTCGTCTTTGGCCTCTGGTGAGGCCCTCCTGGTAGATGGCAATGCCACGGGGAGAGCACGTACCGAAGAGGTTGCAGGGTGAGATGGGACGGCAGAGAGACTCGGGGTCAGGCTCACCCTTTTTAGAATGTGCTGCTGCAGTGAGCACAGGCTCACTTGCTTCATAACCACTCACTCTTGGGAGAGTTAATTTACTCTGTGACCAGAAATAATCCTTCCTGCAGGCAGCACCCCCAGTGACCTAATCGCTTTCCCCTGGGCCCCACCGTTCCATGGTTCACCGGCTCAGCGTTACCAGACTGAGGACCAATTGCAAGCACACGCAACTTTAGGGAACACAGCTAATTCCTAGCTCTTGCTCCGTCCTTTCTATAGATACCCAGCCCCCAATCTGATAAAACAAAACAAAATTGTAAAACCCTTCTTTCCTTTAGGTAAATCAGGACTCTCAGCTACGGCTCCTTTGAGAACCACGTTTCCAGCCTCGAGGTCTGTCTCAACATTGCTTCCCCGCTTTCTCCATCCATTTCTGTTTTTATGACTTGCACTCTAAATATTTAATTCGTTCTTCGTTTTAGACCAATCTTACATCCTCCTCCAACAATTTAGTGAGAGTGAGGTGCTGCATGGCCCTAGGTAGTTAGTGGTGATTAAGTAAGCGGGAGAGACAGCGAGTGCCGAAGGTTTGGAGGGCACCACGGGCACAAAGGGGCTTCTCTGTGGGATCATGTGGGTGCTGTGACAGACATGCACGTTAGCCCAAAGGACCACGGGCCAGTCCAGGAGGCCTGAGGTGGGCACAGGTCTATCACAGAGCAGAATCGGGGTACAGAGCTTCACATGCTGCCCAGCACCTTACCCGGAGTGGTAAACTGCTCAACTGAAAAGCCTCCAAACACCTTCAGATCCTTTTTCTACCTAGTGTACATTCTGAGGGCTGTGGATGTTGCTCAATTGTATGGCACTTGCCTAGCATGCCCCAGGCCCTCGGCTCATCCCCAGCACCACAAACATAGCAGGTACACGCACACACACACATCATACATACAGCACACAGAAGCAGTGAGCTATCACAGGGCCAGTTGACAAAGATGAGAGAGGGTGAAAAATATAAGAATGGATTTGATAGAAAAATATAAAAGCTAAATGGCTAGGAGGAAAATCATGTAAGCGTCCACAAGACAGCGTAAAACACTTATAATTAGGTATTTGTGGTTAATGCAGATAGCTATTTTTAGATACTGTAACTTTATAATCTTTATGAAATTATTTTAGGACATTTCTTCTGCCAAAAGTTTCTTCATGGAGAACTCCAGCAAGGCCTTGGTTGGCCCAAGAGGATGGGGTGGCCTGGGTCTGACTGTTGGGTAGCAGCACTGCAGGATCTTAAACCTAATGGATCTGTCCACTCCTCAGCCCATTCTTGTTTTTTTTTCCATGAAATTTATTGGTACATTTTAGGTATATGTAATAATCACATTCATCATTGGGAATCTGTACCTGTACGTGCTGTATCTTCTTTTTTTTGGGGGGGTACCAGGGATCGAACTTGAGATCTTGTGCTTGAGAAGCAGGTGGCGGAACCACTGAGCTAAATCCCCAGCCCTACATGCTATATCTTTTTCTTTCCTCATTGAGTTTATTGGTACATCTTAGGTACACAGTACAGCTACATCCATCAT